TTTATTTTGAATACCAAAATATCCAAAATTGTGATTAAAAATTTAATTCTTTAAAATTCGCTCCGCTGATTAGAATGTTCTTTTTACACTTCTTTAAAGCAAAAAATACTGAAATGCTAAATACTAAAAATTTATAATAAAATTATTTATTATTACTTAAATTATAAAAACACTTGCTTACACATGAAATTGCGATAGTAGTTCGCTAATTTTTTCGACCAACACTTCACGATCGACAATTTGTGCGAATACAAAGTGCACGTGCTCAGCTGTAAGCAGTACAATTTGATTATCATAGCGATGTGGGCCATCATTCTTCTGCTCTACACTCTGCGTTAAACAAAAACAAAAATAAAATTAAAAAATAAATTTTAAGTTTGCTTAAGGTTTACGAAAATTAACAAAAAACTCACTTTAATATTACGCATTGGAATGACCAGGCTAACAAGATCAATCACGTCACTGCGGAAACAAAAGAAATTGCGAGACAAGTAAATATTGCCACCAACATAACGCTTAGCATATGGTGTCCAAATGTTGGCTAAAATAAAAAAATAAAATAACTACAGATAATTCCAAATACAAATGTCAAACACATATTTACCTTTTATTTGGCCATCAATAATTTCGGACTGCGGCAGACGAAAGTAATTGCGGTACTCTTCAGATTTCTGACGTGCTGTCAAATCACGCAAGAGGCCTGGCTTATTTGATGCTTTGCGTCCGAAACGTTGGAATACCGACGCATCATGATCGACTATAGGGCTGTCGGGGTCCTGAAAATGCATAAACAAGCTTTCAATATATATTCACATAATTTATTTGAACGTCACGTGGCACTGTACTTGTATCAATTGTTGTATAGCCATTTTATTTAGTTGCTCGATCAGACCATATGCCTCCTTAACATCCTTTAATAATGTAAAATTATACTGCATATTATTAACTGTTTTCAAATATATGATTTGTCCGTGTCTTTTAATGTCTTCTAATTCAGCAAAACGAATGACGCGCTTTGTTTCGCTCCCCAGCATGTATGAATAGAAACATATGTGATTTAATGAAATATATATGTTGCCTTGATTCGGTATTTTATTCTTAACATAGCTGTAAGTAATCATGTAAGCATACGTACTGATTTTGTTGTGAAAGTGATCTGACTTACGTGCAGGCATATGTATTGACCAAACGTTCTTCTTTTGGCATTTCGAAAAGTGTTTGAAATTTCGATGCGGATACTTTGAAATTGGCCGATTCGTTCGATTCATCATGATTATTCTGCGCATTAAGCGATTGTATTTTACATATGGTAAAATTGGTGATCTCTTCTTCGCTTTCCATTTCATTGAGAACCTTGAAGAGGTTTTCAGCAAGCCATTCCCAGTCCTTAACTATTTCTTCTTGTGTTAGGCCAATGGCGATTTCTATTAGTTGAGGAGGAGGATTTTTTTGATAAAATAATTTAGCTACGCGGTGTTTCAAAAATAATTAAATATACTATATATGTACATATGTACAATATATATAAATAACAGGGGAAAACGCCAAATTTATTGAAGATATCTCGTTAAAGAAATTTTTTGTTTTACGAGAACTTGATTCTGTACAATTAGTTGGCGTGGCAATTACATGCTATGAAGGGTCGATCTGAATAATATATTCGGAGATTGTGCCGTTGTCTTGACGAATAACGCATGCCAAATTTCGAGAAGACAACTCTTCAATAAAAAAGTTTCCATAAAATAACTTGATTCTGATCGTTCAATTAGTATGACAGATATCAGAGGTTCTGACAAATAAGCAGCCAGATGTATCAGTATCTTGAAAATTGAGGGAATAGTTCGCGTATATACAGACGCATATCATTTTATATAGGGGTTCAAGATAAAAGTAAACAATAAAAATTGTAATAAATGACAATAAATATAAAAAAATACTAAACTGCTCCAACTTCTTTTTACTTCAACTTTTTAGCATTTATATGAATGCCTTCGACGTCATATGAGGCTTATCAAAATGGGTTAGCTATACTCGAGGTAAACAAAAGAATATATACAACAATAGCGAATTCTCGTTTGTACAGTTAGTGAAAATAAATTGCAAATGCCCTAAGATTCTAGTCTCCCTCGGTTATAATTGATTAGATGAGTCATTAGGAAATAAGTATTAATAACTATCTTCGGGTGTTTGCTGATATATTATACAATTTTTATCCATGTACTTTACGTTACTTTTGTTAGACTTTTATGGCTATCGTAAGCCTTATATTTACAAATAATTGCTTAGGGTACAGTGGACGCCAAAATTAAGTTGCAATATGCATGGTGTCTGGGCTAATATTCACCTTTAGAATTTATGCCTTAAGTATTATACCAATTCTAAGGCTAGTGGTCTAAATATATGTTAATTACCATAATATACTTCAGATTTGGGAGTTTGATGAAGAATGCGATATGGTGGTGGCTTTGTATCCCACACGCTGTCCAATGTATTGACAAGAAGCGACGTGAAGCTACGTGATTCTCCATGTCCACGTCGTTTTTGTAGCACAAAGTATTTCGAACGCATTTCGTCAACCCTTTTAAGAGAAAAAAAAAAACAATGATCATGAAATTAAACAATTAAAGTGGCACTAATTAATATTTATATAATAGATAAATGCGTTTTGTCAGAGTTCAATGATTTCCTGATAAGACCAAATGCGTCCAACAATAAAATATATACATAAGCATGTATGGAGAATGGTGCTTCATAAAATGCACAGTTGTACAGTTGTAAATATGCAGCACCAAGTGGAACGCAAAACCAGCTGTTCACCCATTTTTATTGCCTTTGTGTTTGCATTTACTGTGAAAACTGTGTATGCTACGCGATTTAGGTGCTGCGTAAAATATCTTAACTAATGTAGCTAGCTATCTAGGAATCATAAGCAAGAGACTTATTCCAAAAATTTTCTTTTAATAACTTACCAAAATGCTGGTGGTATAAGTATTTCCTTTGGGTGTATCCACATTTTTCAGCTTTCAGTTCACACCTCCCTTAGTGGATGCCTATTTTTATAGTTGTGTAGTCGAAAATATTTTCTAAAAATCTTCAACCAGTCTTGTTACGAAGTCTTTGTGTATTACGTTTTTAGTTCTTCTACTTCCATGTACTTCACTTAATGAAAAATGTGTTTAGGTATTGCGTTCTCCAAACGTTCACCATCACAATATTTAGCACTGATACCACCGTGTACGGTTGGCTATATTCTTGTTATTTGTTGATTTTTAATCGCATGAAGCTTCTTCAACTTATTTGTTCATATTCTATATCTATTTTTAGAGTGTTTCAATTAACATAAAATTGCACTTCTTGAAGTTTTCAAGTTGCCCAAGTAAAAATCTATATAATTTTCCGCTACCTACTGCACTTTTCAACGATGATTACAATACGAGAAACCTGACATCGTATGTCGTGCCCAAAGCGTTCGGTTGTTCGTAAACCCAATCGTTTGCTATTCTCTTACCGCATTTTTTTTGTTTTTCTTCCTGTTATATTTATTTCATTTGTTTTCGTACATATTTATTGGCGTTTCTGTTTTGCTTCTTTGCATTCTCTCTGATTTTTTGATTTCGTACAGGCATAGTGTTGCCTGAAGTAAGTTAATTGTTTGTATTTTCTATTTAATTGCAGTAAACTTTTTAAGTTTCAGATTATTTTATCGAAAATTATCGATTATAGTTATTAACCCATAAGATGATTTGAATATATTTTTATAATCATAATTAATAATTTATAAATTCCATATGTAAAAATTTCGCTGAGATATCTCGTCTAATTCAAAAGCGGATTTTGATCGATCAGTTTGTATAACAGCTATAAGCTATAACGGTCAATAAAATTTTGATATAAATTTTGATATAATTTTAGATAATATCTCAAAAACTGAGGGACAGACATACTGATTATTCATATATACATATATTTTATAGAAGTCTCCGACGATCCTTCTTTTTGTTACTGTTCGTAGCAAACTCAATCCACCCATGTTGCCCATACACTAGAGAGTCTTTTCAATGATAGACGAGCCTACGTTACTAGATCGGATTTCGAGTTTTATGCAGTCAAGGTTTATAGCTCGACAGTATTCCTCGAACTTATTGGACTTCTTTGCGAGTGTAGATTAAATTACGATTTTTATAAGCCGTTTTGAAATCAATAAATAAAACTAACACTGGTCCATGTGAAGGCTTCTGGAGTTCAAGATCCGTGGGCGTAAGATTAGATTAGGTTAAGAGGTCAATCCTAAGAGAGATCTCATTTGAAAAGTGTTTAGAAAGTCGGTTCGTTATGGTGCCTAAAAACTCCTATGGACTACATCAAAAGATCTACCAAGCGCTTTGACCCTGTCAAAAACTTGTTGAGACGACTATGTTTTTGGTCCTCTGATATTTCAGCCTCAGTCTTGCGAAGGCTGTATCGTGGATAAAAAAAGTGATTGGATGCTTTTACCTTACTCTACTTCATACAACTTTGACAAGTACCGTCCGGCAAGAGCTTAAGCTTTACCGCATGATTGGACAGTGTACAGTAAGAGCTCCTACGATTGCGGCAAGACGAACTTAAATCTCTTGCGTTGCAAGTTGTTAGTCGATTCTGAAATGCTTAAATATTTTATGAAATATATTTTTTGGCAGAACTTTGTTTAGAAGCTTGCCATTACCTTTCGAGACGCGAGCGTTATTAAAAAAAAATTGATGTTGGTTCGAAAAGGTATTAAACCTCACTGGTCCCCATATAAAATTAATATGAATTTTATATATGTACATATAAGTATTAAATTAATTAATTTTTTTTAAATTAAACACGCTTTGATTTTCTAAGAAAATTTTGAATATGTAGCAGGCGTTTAAGTTTCATTGAAATTTATTTTCTAATTTCAATTCAGTGTTAAACTTACTGTGTATAAGAGAACCCTTAAAAAAAAGAAGAAAAAAATATATAAAAAATAAGTGAAATATCAGACTTTTAAATTTTTTTGTCAGCTTAGAGGATTTAAAAAAATTTCTGTTTTCGCGAAATTGCTTATACATTTAATCTCTTCAATTCTACTGCACATCTCAACTCGCTATCAACAATAACAAAATATTAAATCGCAAAAATGTTGAAAAAATTTGTGAACCTACAGTCGGATGTCAGTCCATCGAAGAATCCATATGAAGTACGCACCTACATGGGTGACAGCCCGAACTCACCCGACTGGAAGATTGAAATGTGCGAAAAAGTGCGTAAATGTGATCGACCAGAAACTTCGACCATTTCCAAAGTGATAACCATCGAAGATGAATTACGACGTCTCAATCAAAAAGTGAAAGAGTCACGCTTTCAACGTGAAATCAAAAAGAAATGCTCCAAAACCGATGATTATCTGCTGTGCACAAACCCACAGCGTACGCCAAGCGAATTGAAGGAACATTCTATAATGCGCGAACGCTTTCTACGCGTGGCTTATGATTTGACGCGTCGCGTACATGATGGTTCTGAAATGCCCTTAAAGGCGCCTAGTCATATTGAGCTCGTTAGTCCGGTGCCGAGTCAAGCGGAGAGTGAAGGCGAGGAAGAAGATGAGGAGGGGGAGAAGTCGGTAAAACCACAAATGGCGAGCCCATCCTGCAGTTTGGATGTAATTTATAAGCCCTCAGCGAAGATGGTGAGTTGAAAATCTATTTAAATATTAATAAGGGTTTCTATAACGTTTTTTTTACATTTTTTACAATATATCTCTTTCCTCCATTAATGGTTGTATTGTGCAAGTTTACCAAAATATGCTTGTAGTTTCATTTCTCTGGGATAGAAAGCGTCTTCAATCATTATCGTTGGATTTATTTGCAGAAAAATTAGGTCGAATATTTGAGATACAACGCCACTCAACGCAATGAATTTAGCCTGGACCAATTAGATTCTATAATTTCCAAACTTTCGTTTATATTTTGAGCACATAAAAGAGACACCTGTGTAGGCCACATAGGGGATCAGTCCTGGACTGAAAAGTTACGATGTAATATTCATATTCATTCTCTTTTGCGACCTCTTTCGACGTCGTTTTGACAAAAGGTTCAGGTTTTTTGGAACGAGTGTATACCCAAATCATTAACCACAATGTATTGCGTGGATCTATAAGAGATGTTGAGATTCTCTGCGGAAATATTTCGATTATTTGACACTCCTCTGAATACCACTCGAATCATGTGTTCGTGATAAGTAGACTGCCCAACAATTTTCTGCAACATTTTCAACGGATTCCACTGAAACATAAAATTTCAAGCAAAACTAATTTCGAGTACCAATAGGAATGCTGTGTACTTCTGATCTACCGTTTTGCACGTGACTTTTGCAGTTTTGCACCCTGGTAGCACGTTTTATAGAGCTTTGATTTTCTTCACCATGTTTTTATCGAGATCGTCGTATAGACAATGCATGTGTTTCCTAATATTGATTCGGATGTTATCCTTAACTATTCTTGGCAATCCCAGTAGAAGTAAAGTTGCTTGCTTTTGGCTACTGCCTTGATTGCTGCTTGGTTGTCTACGCAGATGTTGACGCTGGAATTGCTTGCATGTGCATTTAAGAGCAGCTTTCGCAAATGGCAAAGATCTTAGTCTGAAATATACTGCAGTGTGTAATGTATTAATGTTGTAATGTTGAGTATCGATGGTCCAGTCCGGGTCATATTTGATTAGAAAAAATAAAATAACTTTTCAAGTATCATTAGTCTCTCGTTAAGCCCGAAAAGTCTCTAGATGTGTTCCTGTATTGAAAAAGATAGTTAGAGAACTTAAAACCTTTTTTAGTGATACATTAACCGCTCTACCTCTTTCAAAGGCGAAAGTTTTGTCAAAATTTTATAAAACTTTTGTGAATATACTTATAGATAAGTGCAGTTTCAAAGTAGTGCTGGTGCATTGAAAACGAAATTAGCGGATCTTGTTACCGATTTCCTCTAATTATTTTTACGATATAAATACTTTACTTCCTTTTAATGAAATGACATTAAATATTAATGTTTCAAAAGATTTATTATGAACTCAAATTCTTCTATTTTTAGGTATACTAAATATACTATGTATACTAAATATAGCTATATATTATATCCAAGTATGTATATATGTGTATATAATATGAGGACTTATGCATTAGCTTATGTGACTTCACAGTTCTGGCTATAGTTTTATGTTAAGGCGGTGTATGTTTTAAATATTCAAAGGCCAATATGTGGATGTTGCTCTCCAGAGCATCTAAAAACTAATAACTACAAAACTACATACTAATAATACGTATATAAGTATTATTATGTACATATATAGATAATACACTACTCATTCAATCAGCACGATATCATCAAGATCCGCAGCATAAAAACCGCCTACATCCGATTGCATATTGTCTGCGATACACTCATCGTTTGTTGACGCCAGCGTCAGTTGTTTGTATGCGCCGTCGACGGCTTGCTTCTGCATGTGCACACCCAGTTGTGAGATCAACTCCAGCGCCTTGACATCGGCATTGAGTAGCGCAAACTGATGTATAACAGCCAAATGCGGGAATATACTGCCTAGTACAGCTGTGGTGCCGGCATTCATTTTGATTTGCTCAGCATTAAGTTCATTCGGCTGGTTAATGTTTTGTGTTCTCGCATGGGTGTTCGAAGAGCAACCGCTGGAGTCTTTCGAATCGCTCACCACCAAAGCTATGTCATCGTCTACTTGAGCGGCATCATCAGACACCTCTTCCACCTCATCCTCCTCATCGCTAACCACATAATCCACGCTATTCTCATTGCTAGCATTTTGCAGCAGCATCTTTGTCTTTTCCACCTCCGCGTGCATTGCCTTGTCTAGTGAGGTTATTTCCGAAATTTCAGTTTGCATGAAATTCGGTAAAGCATCTTTATACTCAATAATAATGTCCTCAACCGCCAGTTCACCATCAACGGCATGCGCACCCGCTGTGCCCAAATCTTCGGCTGTGTATCTGTACTTGCTGCGAAAACGATCTAGCCAACGATACGAAGGCCGAAAGCTGGGCAAATTCAGTATGGCGGCCATTTTGAGCGCCGTATCCTTGAGCGTCTGATTTGTTATGGTTTTACGCAAACGCAATTCACGACAGCGCTCCACCCATTGATGTAGTATGAAACTAATGGCGCTCATTTCGAATTTGCGACGTTTGCGTGTCATTTCTTCGATGAAATTGGTCGCATCCGTTTCGCTGAGCGTGGCCAATTGTTGCAGCAGTTCATTTTTGTGTTCGAGTATGCGTCGAATTTGTGTGGCACAACAGTGGAATAGTTTAGCTAAGCGATTGCGTGAAACACTCGTCTCATCGTAGTAGTGTATGACGGCGATTTTCTCATAGAATGTCAGTATGTTTCGCTCGTTACGTCGTTTGACCTGGAAGTAAGAGATAAAGGAAAATTTTTGAATGCCATTACATTAAGAAAGTGCTGGAAAAATAAGTTTTAAGTTTATTTTGTTACGGTATAATAACCGAGAGTAGTTAAAGCACAGATTATGTGAACAAAATTCTTTTTTATTATTAGATTGTTCTGAGCTAGAAGGCCATCTCTTCCATTGAACCAAATTTCCTAGGAGCCTTTTAATAAATCGTAAGGCCTTTATGGATATTCACATTCTGTACTCTTTAACAGGCAGGCTGAAAAGTTCGTATAATTTTTGTGAGTGTGTCACCAAAATTTAATAGATTTAGTAGTTAGATTTTACCTCTAAATAGCATGTGAATCAATTTAAAAGCAATCGGACAGGTCGTCCTTGAGATATGTATATCTCTAATATCTATATAGTAACCATTTGCCAATGATTTACTAAATTCCATATGTGTATGTCATAGAATAGTGAAGACGACGATTCAGTTGGCATTGAAAGGATGGAGTCACAGACAAAATTACCAAAAATTCCATAAAACCATTTTAAAAAATGGTAAAATCAGGTTGATCGAGATAGCTGATCTTTATGGACAGATCGTTCAAGAATATTTGGATATGTGAAAACTCTATACCAGAGTAAGTTGCGCGAATTCAGAATATACCAATACAGCCTCTATTTTATTTTTTATAACCTAGAGGTTATCTAAAAACAATTACTTGAAGCTAACGAACAATGAAAGTGCTTTAGCAGAGCTGTGAACGTCGATAATCAGTGGTTTTTTAGTCGAATGATTAGAGGGTTTGCTCTCACTTTACTTCTAAATCCAAATTTACATCTAGATACTTTGATTTCTAAACAACTATTTAAGTGAAATGATGAGCTTTCTTTACCCGAACAATATTTCTTTAAAACGAAATGATAGTTTTTAAGGAAAACCTGATCACATTTGACCTGGACTGATAAAAACACATATCCTTTAAAGTGGGCTAATAAGGCAATAAAAGTATGTCAACGATTAATCCGATTTCCATATACTTGTTATAAGCCTCGGCTGGGATGGATTCAGTGCCTTCAGAGAATTTTGTTGTTTAGGTTTCGGCCCATTTTTAGGGGACCATTCGCAAGATTGTTGCATAGATTGCATAGATCGAAACTTTAAGCTTGCGACCGCATAAAAGACTCAGTCTGGGTCAATTTTGATCATATGTATAAAGACTGCTTCATTTAAAAATAATAAATTCATTTGCATTCTGTTCCCTTATATGAAGCTATACTCGATAAGAGGTAAGGTAAGAAGTTTAGAAGAAATTAGGAGGTTGAAAAACTACCAAATATCTAAATTAATATTCCAAGTACTATATTTTTTATAATTTGCGGTCAGTATATTTGTGAAAAAAAAAAATAATAAAATAAAATAGAAAAGTAGTACCCATAAGCGCTATCTCAGCTAAATATGCTCGAAGGTCTCTTGACAGTTGGGTCAATGCAATCGATCTTTATTCCAAGAACTGCGAACTCGACTAAATCTCCGAAATTATGTGAGTATGCAACAACAACATTCAAAAGATTTGCAATCTTCCTTCTCAAATTTTATCGCTTTTTGAGCAACATGCGCTTAGAGGATCATTATGGCGCAGCCAATCAATTGCAAAAGCATTCACTTACAAATGCGTGTGCATGAATACATACAGAAACCGCATAGATATAAATGCATATGTGTGTGTGTAAACTCGTACTTGGATATGCAAGTATGTATGTGCCATTATTCGTTTGCACGATTCTGTTATTGCCACAAGTGGTGACATAAACTAAAACTTGGCAGTCGCAATGGCAACGAGAAACGTGTTCAAATATTCAAACATATTTACATACGTACACATAGCCAAACACAAATTTATACTTGCAAGTGTGCTTGTATGTGTGCGCTATGCTTCACTTTGACTGTATTATTGTATAACTGTCATTGTTACTGGCCGCACTGGCTGTTTTATAAAACGCAAAAATAACCCTCAATGCGTTATTTGACGTGGCTAAAATAAATACTACAGTGGCAAAAGGTGCACGCGAGCGCACACACAAAAGCAAAACCACATGTACACTTCGTGCCGTTTGTCTGGTGTATAAGTGCGTTGTAGAGAGACGCTGTGCGCTTTTAGAATGCTTGTTAGAACTTATAAAACGCTTGTTATAGCCTATACAAGTCGCAGTATATTGGTTGAGTATTGAAAAAGTAGACCATCTTCGTAGTAGTCAACAATATGCTTTTGTCGGGGCGATAAGGTAAAGCGTTGCTGTGTGTGTTTGTATGTTTGTATGTGTGCGCGTTTGCTTGCAAGCGCTGACCATGTTTGGTGGGCTGAGTTGGTGGCGCGTGTTGGCCAGTGTCGAACTGGTCACAAGCCGCTTTTTATTGTGTGTCTAACTAAGTATATGTGTGTGCATATGTATGTATGTACAAATGTAGGTAACTGAGCGGGGTTGTTAAGAAAATGCGTAAAATGTGGCAAATACTGGTATGCGTGTTAAAAATAGGAAACTTACCCCTTTATTGGCACGTTTTGGCGGTTTAGCGGTCATTGTAGCGCTGTAGTATGCGTTATGATTTGCAGTATGTGTGTTGGTAGTTGTTTTGTAGTGGCAGTGGTTTATATACTATATATTTTAATCTATGTATATTTTATGTTGTAAACACTAATAGGCGGTTTCAGCAGAATCGTGGAGGGTTTGCGGCTAATTCTTAATCTTTAGCTTAAAGCTATGCAGTTCAAGTTTTTTTTTAATTATTTATTTTCATTTTATAAACTATTTTTTAATTTGTATTTATGTTTTTTTAGTTTAAACTTTTTTCATATAAATTTTATACTTTTTGGAATGACACTTTTTGTTTAAAGCAAATGCAGTTGAGCATTAAAAATAGTTTTATTCTTATTTTTAGATTTTATTCTAAATATTTTTAGTTTACATATTTTTAGAATGCCGCTGCTTAACAGCTGTCTCTTATACACATCTTGTAATATTATTTCTTTTTTAATTTTTAAAATAACTTTTTTTTGGATATTAATTTATTGTTTTTAATTTATATTATATTTTAGTATTTTTCTACTTATAATACTTTTTTTAATTTTTTACTAAATTTTTCTGCAAAACATTCGTGTTTTCCACTTAAAATTCTCCAAATTCCGCACGCAAATCAAACAACTGTTCTTTTAATGTCAACCGAGTACATCTCTATGTACTTATGTATGTATGTATATTGTACAATACTTATATGCATGTATGAATATATATTTTGCATGCGCGCAATTGCGTTTATTTATCTCCAATTCTACTTTCCCACTCACTGCTCGCTTTCTCGTTCGCAATTTTGCACCCCACTTGTTTTTGTGTGCTCTTTACATGCACTTTTTGTCAAATCAAATGTGTGTACGAAGCGAAGGCATTGACAAGACTACACAGTTAGCAATATTAAGTGCTAGTTGTATGCACACTTGTTTTGTTTTTGCTTGTCGTACCCAAAAAATAATAATAAAAACGTTTGTTGTTGTTGGCTATTTGCTTCAATTGGTAACGAATGTGCTCTCCACACACACACACACAACTGAAAAAAAAATATACTCATTTATGCATGTGTGTACCTACACAGGTGCAGTGCAGCAGCTGCAGCTTCAACGGTGATTAACCACTAGCTTTCGTAGAGCACAGCATAGCAAATTGGCTTTCACACAGCTTTGCTTTTTTTTCGTAATTTTTCGTCTTCGTTTTTAGTGTGTTTTGTTTTTACGCCAACTCCCACAACAACTACCAACTAGTGATCGCACTCGTATGATTTTTGCATGTGCTTATACTATACATATGTTCATATGGGTTTAAACATGTTCACTACGTTTAAACACGTTCATGCACGTTTATATGTGTGCGCATAGATCAGGTGATAATCCACGTAGCCGCTATAATATAAAATTCGATCACCACCTTTTTACTGAATGCGCAGCTCCACTTGACAAACGGATACTACCAATGCTCCATGTACCAAAAAGGTGCTGGTGCTCGGCTCACCTTGAGTGGACTTCGTCGTTAAGTCGCGTTTTCGTTGTGCCGTCAACGTGTGGTGTCGAGCCGAGCGTTGTGGTGACGAAGGGGTTGGGCTCTCCTTATTTCACTTAGTACACACACACGCGTCAAAAAAGGTACACAGACACTTCCCAACACCTGGTTTTGTTTATGCTAGGCCCATATTTGTGCATGTTATTGTTGTTGTGTGCTTTTGTTTCTTCTTTTTTATCAATTTTATTTACTCTTTTTTGTGTGTTCTTGTTGTTGAATTGTTATTCTCAGTTGCTTCGGTAGCGGGGTCGGTTCTACTATTATTCTCGTGCGCTGTGCTTTAGCGCGTTTCGACTTTGCTGTAATGCTTAACTGCTGAGTAACGCGAAGCGACTAAGTGGCACTGGTGTTGGTTCTGTGTGTTGTTTGGCCATATGAAATAAAAACCATACCGCGTATTCGTATGAGAAAAACCAACAACGGCCAACAAATACATGGAAGTGCTAATACGCAACAACAGCAACGACAGCCACGACAGCCACGAAAGCGGTGGGCACACAGCCGGTAGCACGATTGTGTTTGTGTGCATATATGTATGTATGTGTACACATACTAACGACGACGCTGGGTATATTAAGCCGCATGGCAAACGCCACTAGACGTCGACCATACAAACGTAAGCGATAAGTAGAGAACAACAATAACATTGCACAGTGCTAGGCAACAATATGCACACACAAACACAAGCAGACAATAAACTGGCAGTAGCATATGCTATAACAGACATTTCAGCCAGCACCAGCTACTAGCTGCAAGCTACTATGGCAGTGTCGTTGTGATATATGAATAGCTACGACCTAAACAGTGAAATAGTGGCATGGCTGTGGCATAGCATGACATTGCGGGTGTGTATAGTAAGCGCCCAAGTATTGGGTATTAAAATTCAGCCACTCCAACGAGACAACTAACAACCACCAGCAGTGGTCGTTGGTAGTGGTGCTCATAGTCTTACAAGTGCACACGCACACACATATGTTTGTACAGTGGCAGTCAGTCGGGAAGTCAATATGCGGTTCGTATTGGCCGTAAAGCACAAAAATGCACCAATACATCGGCGCTCACAGACGTGGGCAAGTGCACAAGATGCGCTAGGCTATGGCTAGAGCCTACAAACAACAACAAAATACTATGAACCATATGCCAAGAAACAGCCTTTGCGTGTGTGGAGGTTGGGGTCGGTGTGCGGTGGGGTGGTTGCTTGTGCGTTTGCTACGTTTGTTTGCCTTGCGAGTAAGTTCGTAAGAAATGAAAAAAAGAGGAACGAAACGAAAAACAACACACAGACACTTTTAGCGACTTTAAGGCATGCAAACACCTTGCTTTGGCACGGCAATCGCAGCCGCAGATACGACACGGCAGTAGCATTTGCCAACAGAACGAAATGCATACATACATATGTACATATGTACAGCTATAATATATGTATTATTACACAGTAGAATTACGTTGTGAAAAATAAAACAAAACGAAGCTTCAAAATAGACGATAATCATTAGGGGAAAAAAAAGAAAATGTTGGTATTAACCTATAAAACGGGCAGGAGTTTGGTAGTACCAGAGGACATAAAACAATGAGAAGGCCATGTTCGAATTATTATTTAACAGAAAGGAATCTTTAGAATTACAGCTTTGTTAACATGTTCAATCAGGGTATATTGTTGACCAACCGAGGAATGAATATATTTATACCAGCGATTTCCAAATTTCTTATGCATTTTTATAATTTTTTAGTCTTGTATTTTTTATTAACTATTTATGGATTAAAAAAAAAAGTCGTAGTTGAAAAATAATTTGATATATTTCCCTAGATAATTCATGTAATGGCACCATGTGGACTCTTCTAGTATGTTCTCTGGTAGTCGTCTTACATCTTTAATAGGGTTTCATGTTGAGGTCAGGTCGTTTTCAATCAATAAAATATGGTAGCAGTCCAAATTTAATATTTTCAGTTTAATATTCGTTGTCGCTGAACTAATTCATATCAAGAATATTATTCTCGCGATATGAATTCTATGCTTCCCCTTTACTTTTATCACTTCCTTAACCATTAACCATAAATCTTCATCATGAATGGAAAGTACTCAAAATCAAATAATGCAAACAAATTCCCCACTAAACGAATCAAAGGTTGCTCCTACAGCTGAAAAATGTTTCCTGGGTTTCATTAAGGTACATCACATGCCATAATCAATCATATAGAGCAAAGTCAGCCGGGGCTAGTTCAAGTTTGCGCCCAGTTGTATCTGTTTTAGACATAAAGATATACTGTTACGAGTGAAACATGTTCTGCAATTTTCACTTCAAAACTCAACCGCTCCTTATCCGTTATTATTTTTCATTTAATATTTGTTTTTTATCTTTCCTTTCCAAGAAGTTTCAACTTACAAAGATTTTCAATACTTTCAACAATTATCGACACATCTATATGTACGTACTATATTCGAAAAATAGTATATAATAATTGTCTATAATAATTTACACACAAAGGATAATTGTTTGAATTTTGTGCATGAAATCTTCCCCAACACACCACTGTGCAATGTTTAAGTAGTATAAAATTAAAATACCGAATGCGCGTCAAGTGCACAAGCAGCGAGCAAGCCGATTTTCATGTGCACAATTGCATACAGTATGTGCAACTGTATTAGTGGTAGTGCCTAGAATGAAGTATGAGAGTCGAGAGCGCGGTATTGTTGCTCTGGCGAATTCTTGAAGGCTTTGCCATCACCTCAATGCCATACAATCATACGTTATGACATTCAGCAAACAAAAACAAAAAAGGTAAAAACAAATAACACTCAAAGCGAATGCATAAAAGTGCAGATATTTCGCTTTTACTTCCTAAATGTTCTTATGATGCCGTTTAAACGATGACGTTCTGTAGGAGGAAAGCTTTGATAGTTTAACTCTGCACTGTCTAATAGTGCTGATTTCATTTTGCTCTCTTTGTTCCAGCTTATTGTGTGACAATGTTTTAATTCACCTCACTTAACTGGCATCGGCATCGGCATCGGCATCGACAATTGATACACTTCAATTTGACGAATGCACACATACATATGTACGTACATATATACATATATACAATATACTCGTGCGCTTTTATTTTTATTGTATATTTATGCATTTATGTGAGTACATATTTACCAATATACTTAAGTGTATATGTATATATGTGCGACTATAGTATTTTTATGATTTTTGTTTGCTGCAGCTTAAAAGTCAATATTTATTTAGTCGTGATCTCTTCTTAAACTCCTTTATATATTTTAATCCTGTGTGAGCGGATTGCTTTGGTTAGAAAAAACTACCGCTTTACATATATACTATACTATATGTATGCTTATAGGTATGTAAGTTGTTTCGCATATTATTATTATAGAAAATATGCCTATATAAGATGGATTAAAAAGTTTTTATTTTGTAAAAATATATATATTATATACGAGTATGTGTATAAAGAAATAACGGGATAAAACAGATCTGGAATTTAGTCCACGCTCTCTTTTTCCCAAGAAGCTGCTCATTTGGCGGAACAGCCGATATTGGGCCATTATAGGATATCGCTTCCATACAAATTGTTTGATCAAGGTCAAGTCTGTGTATTGAAAACTTATTTATCTGAGCAGATATCTCCACAAAGTTTGGCATGAATTATTATCTATCGCAACGTTATAACGATTGGATAAGTATAGTCTATAGCTGCTATACAACCTGATCAACTGAAAAAAC